CTTACCATAGCCGCCTGTGAGCTTCAGTGTAAATATTGCGTCAAAATCAAATAAATTTGAGAGCGATTTAAACCCGGATGATTGTAACCACTCTAAGTTCGTCTGTCTTGGGAAAGCTAGCGTGTCTCCGACATAGTGATAACACTCGTTGCCTTCTCTAGTGCAGCTCAACCAGGTCTCGTCCTATTCATCAGTATTTGTGAGATCACAAATGCCGGAAAATATGCGTTGTAGTCCAAACAAGTCGTTCGTTGTAGTTTGTGAAAAGTGATTTCTGTTAAATAAAATATCTCCTTTTGAGGTGCACTTTGAACTTTAACTTTGCAGATCTTTTTTATGCTCAAACAGCAACATTACAGACTAACTAAAGTTGAAAAAGTGAAAAAGCATAATAGGACCCCTTTAATCAGAACTCCCAATAAGGAGTCTTTTTTTCCAGCTGGTTTATATATCTTAGTCTTTGCTAGTGTGTTAGCCTGTGTGCCAAGGTTTCCTTCTCTGTCTGTGTGTGTGTGTGTGTGTGTGTGTGTGTGTGTGTGGGTACTTAGTGCTTCTGCGGATTGGGTTTCAGAGGGGAACAAAGGCCCAGTGTAGCAGCGTAGGACGGGCCGGCCTGGTAAACTCATCTGCCTGGCCACAGAAGCCTGTCCACAGGACACAGGCTGCAGACAGGAGTTAAAAAGGCATATTTAAGGAGTACATTGTGTCTTTTTGATAAGTCCTATTCAAGTTGTCGCTATTTATTTAATAGCTGCTATATTAGGACTGAATTTTTGAATGCAAAGTTTTGGGGTGTCTGGAACTGTGACCCTCTGACCAATCGCTTCTAGACAAACATGATTAGCCTCCAATTTACTATGATAAAACGAAGAGCTTTTAAAAACAGATGTTTAGAAGAGGAACATCTGGAGAACATCTGCTTCATTTGGACCAGATCTCGAGGACTTGTGCAAAAGGGGTTTGAGGGACAGGAAGGGGGAAACGCCATATGTGTAGACGACTCACAAGACCAAGGCTAATGTTTTGGAAATGTCGCAACTGCTAGTGCATCCAACAATGAGGACACCTAATCCTTAAGACTCTGTTCCAAATTTAGTCTGGTAGTTCTCGTTCTTCTTCAATGGAAAAAATGAAGGAAGTGTTAAGTAAACATTGAGACTGCTACCTTTTCGAGTGGTCTGTGTGTGGGCACCGTTTGATTTTCAACCCATCTCTGTCACTGCTGAAATGCACAAATGAACGTCTCCTCTTGTCTGTACAACCCCCCTCCTTTTTAACTTCTCTTTGTTTGGGGTTTTAGAGAAATGCAGGCTCATTTTATTCAATGTCTTATTGTTGTTGACCCTCGCTTTGTTTGTGGATATCTTTCCCACAGGAAGTTGAAATGGTTTGTCAACAATTCCTCATTTTTGTAGTGAGCATACCCCATATCAATTTCAAGGAGCTGAAAGAAGAGTCAGATGTCTTTAAGCATCTTGTGGGTTGTTTCTAAGACAGTGTGTCAAGTTAAAAATAGTGTCTCAAGACCCATGTGTTTTGCTCTATTGCTTTGTACATCATATGGCCGACGGCGAGCGACGGTCGGGCTAGTTTGTTTGGTGTGTTCCACTCGTCGGCTCTCGTCGGGCTCACGTCGGCGGCAGTTTGCCCGATTCAACATGTTGAATCGGCGTCAGGACCATCGGCACGAGTGAGAACTCTGATTGGATGTTCAATTTAGCAAACGAGTCAGTGCCCGAGAGTTAAAGCGAAAGTGATGAAAACAAGCACGTAAATGAAGGCGGTACAGACAGATGGCTGTTTAAATGTTACGTGATCTTTACCAATCATTCTAATACGCAAATGTTTTCATAACATGAGCCGCTTAAAATGATTAAAGTTATCAACGTTACTGATATTCAAAATGGTAAGCAAGCGCTGCTTTGTTTACGTTTCGTATGTCTGCGTTTATCTCGTATATCTTTGTACCGGTTTCTCCTTTTGAATGACAAATATTTAGCCTACTATTGATGGCTGCTGATATAGACCGTTATTTCCTCTCATGCATGCGCAGAACGCACGTGTTAGTTTGTCGTTGGCTGTAGTCTATGCGGTGTGTTCGAGCGCAGCTTTTTGGTCCGACGCTGCTCTGGTGTCGGCTTGGTGTGTCCCCGGCCTTTATGTACACTCCTAAGAACGTGCCTGATTCAGGGCCAGTGAATCTGAAACATATTTTTGAAAGTTAGTAGGGCTGACAAAAAAAAATTTAATTTCGAATATTTGTCAAAATTATTAAAAAAATGTGTAATTGATTGCATTTGAATGCTTTTGTTAGCCTATCCAGTTGAGCCCACTAGATGCGGCGCTGCTACATTGTTCATTCATATATTGCAGAAAACGAGAGTGTCAGTGGGGAGAAGATGTTGTTTACGTCAAAACTGAAACCAAGCCATTCACACAGAACGCATATTTATCACATTTTCTAGAGGGACATCTATCAATGTTGCACTCGCGTCTCGCACAAGAGAGCGGCATGTTTAGAAAGCCATGTAAAATGAATGCAAGTTCAACTTTTAAAAAACATGTCTAAAGACTTTGTGGTGGTTTTTCCTCATCACACTGTGGTGGTTTTTCCCCATCCCACTGTATCTCACAGAACGCATATTTATCACATTTTCTAGAGGGACATCTATCAATGTTGCACTCGCGTCTCGCACAAGAGAGCGGCATGTTTAGAAAGCCATGTAAAATGAATGCAAGTTCAACTTTTAAAAAACATGTCTAAAGACTTTGTGGTGGTTTTTCCTCATCACACTGTGGTGGTTTTTCCCCATCCCACTGTATCTCATGTTTTTAAATGAAGAAAGTAGCCTACTCTTTGTGATTGGTTTTCGGTCCTTTGTATTAAACTATACATACATGCATGGTGCTGTTTTTTTTCTAATTGTTTAAGCAACTTTATTAATCATATATGGTTTATAAACATTATTTTAAACATTATGCACTTTTTTTCAAAGACAGTCGTGTTATTTTATTACGCTTTGAAGAAACGTGCATCATATTTAAAAGCCAAAAGCTTTTTCCCCCTAACTGAAATTATGC